CAACCCCCGTAAAACAACGACAGCAACAACAACAATAAAAACAACAGACCCCTGAAAACAGCAACAAACAAACAAACCAACAAATAAACACAAACAAACACACAGACCAAAATTATCTGTCCGGAGCAGGAATATAAATATAATTAAATCCTAATGTTTTCCTTTTATTGCCTCCCCTCAGAACACCCAGCTCCAGGCATTTGTGCAGATGGCGGTCCTGGCTGACTACGCGGACACTGGAGCTAATCTGCCGTACATGGGAGCCAACGACCAGCTTTTTGGGGAGTTCAAACACAACCTCTTCGTTCTTCTTTGTTCTTTGAAAGAAACTGTTGCCAGCTTTGCATCCGACTCCGAAATTGCCACCGTGGTGGTGAAGCACGCTCACAGCGATGCTACACTCGGCTCCAGAATACCCAATTTGAAAGCCTCGTGGAAGAGGAAATTCTTCGTCGTTTATTTGGAGAATGTACTGCAGGCCATTAAGAATTTGCAGCCATAGGCAAGAAAAAAAAAAGGTTCCATGTTAAAGTATACATGGCTACTCTGGAGTGCAGAAAATGTATTTTATGATTAATCTAATTTATTTCACTAATTTATTTGTGCATGTACATTTGTATTTAATTTACTGTGACAACAGTGTAGCCCTCTCTATTTTGAGCATGTTGTGTTATAGTATCTAATACAAAAAATATATATTATATACATATAATACATTACATATTATATATGTAATTAAAATAGCATGTTGAACTATGGTAAACAAGAACAGACTGTTGTGCAGTAAGCTTATGTGGGCAATTTTTCTGTACACCTCTCAAGAAGGCTCACTTTGTTCAGTATTCTGAATTACTCATTTTCTCTATAAAAGATTGGGGTTTAATTGTTTTGTTTTTAAAAAGACGACCTGTTATTTTGCAGACCCTACTCAGATATCTTCTTTTTGGTATTCTAAAAAACGTTAATTACTTTTTCGTGTTTTGTTCTTTGGTCGATGTCCGAAAATGGTATATCATTTTACATTCCTTTACTCTCACCGTTATTCTAAATTAAGGCTCTTTAACAATTTTTTCAATTGTTTCCTCGGTTTTCTACCAAGGTCTCTCATTTTATCTTCATTTTTGTCTGACCAACATTTTAAGAAATAGCATAATTTTGTTTCATCATTTTGTATTTCATTTGGCAGTCCCGTATTTTTCTCAGGTACATGTATTCCTAATCCTTGTGTGCCAACTTCTGGCACAAACTAATACAAACTCTAGTACTTTATGTTGCCTATGCCTCGCATGTGCGTGTATCAAAACTGTAACTCACAATGAGTCTATCTCGCCTGTATTCTACTTTTATGATCTATACTTGGAATCAACATTCCTCAATATTCTATGCAATGCTTATCTCATGACTAATACAGAGTTTGATATTTTTTCATACTGGGCCTTGTAAATCTTCAATTCGTATTTGTTATTTACACTTAAAACATTCTAATAATCTATGCAATATTTATTTGATTTAATGGGTACACTATATATACAAACATCATTCGATTCTAAATCTGCACACTTATTTTATTATCTTTCACGTAGAAATGCCCATGCACATTTCTTAGCGAACGATCACAACTTTCATATTTCTCCTCCCCCCCTCCCCCCACACACACATACATTTACACTCCCCACACCCTAAACAGGTTATATTATTATATCACGCAAATCCCAGGAGAAGACCTTCATAAATAGTTTAAAGTAGACAAAGTCAGAAAAATTGACCGCAAATATATCCAACTGGGCTAAATACTTGAAAATCCAAAGCAGATACAAACAATTTTTTCCCAGCGAATGAACCAATCTGTCACCCCCTGCCATACAACATGATGATATGTTAATGCATGTATATATATATATACACACACATATATATACACACGTTGTTGACTACACCCTTATCATTTGGATATGATTATTCAGCTCCTCATCTTCTGTAAAGTGACTACAAAACTCGTTCTGTAATAGATATCAGTTACTGAATCAAGATTTATAACAATATTGTCCACTAATTAACGTAGTTTATGGTTCTGTTCCTTAAAACATGTAAAAAGCAATATTCGAAAGAATATTGTGCGGTATGTATTTCATTTTAAAATTTTAATTTACAAAGAAACTTTCTTTTTCATAATTAGGTGTAAATGCTTCGTTCATAATTATTGTTAATGTGTTTGTGTTTGTGAAAAGAAAATAAATAAACAAACAATCCACATACCTTGTTTCTATTTTTTGTTTTTGAATGTGTGTAGAATTATTTCATAATTCATGCCTTGAGTGTGATCACAATAAATTTCACCTATCTTATAGCATTTTAAATTTTAGATGTTCAAAACCAAGGCCTCCGCCTCGCCCTGGGGGCTTTCCGCACTTCTCCTGTTGTGAACCTCTAGACCGAGGTCAGCATTCCATCCTTCAAAAATCAGTAGAACACAACTGTCATTACACACTACGTAATATAACAAAGCTCATCACCAAACAAACCAGCATACGGCTATTTTAAATTCATTCAGACATTATAATCATTTAAAAAACCATCGACAAGATAATTAAACCATTCGGCCTCATTCCGTGGCACCTCACCTCGGCAAATATAAACGCAGACCTCATCACACACAACAAATCATGCACTGACACAAAAACATTCAATACCGCATTAAAAACCCCCCACCTCATCAAACAACAGCCCAACGCAGAGAAAATCTTCACCGATGGCGGTGTAAATCGGACTCGGCAGGAGGCGCCGCTGCCCTATCCACAAACAACACACAATAGAGAAGGCTCCATCCCGGGGTCTTCATTTTTTTCTGCCAAGGCCACAGCCATTGACATTTTAGGCCATTCTACCTTGTCATCCTTTCTAATTCTATCCAATTCTTTGTCTTGCCTCACTTCACTCACCAATTCCACATTCTTAATAAACCCTAAAATAGGTAAATTACAGATGAGGACTCATTCCTCGATTGAACAAGGAAAGCATACCGTGTTTGCATGTTGGCATCCTAGGAAACGAGCAAGACGATTTTCTAGCGCAAGTATCCTTGTCCCTTCTGTTGGGATCAATGGAGAAGACCTTCCAGCGGAGAGACTTCAAAACTAATGTAAAAAACTACTCCCCCAGTCTGTGGGAGGAACACTGGAACGAACAACTGGACAACAGACTCCACGGTATAATGCCAAAATAAGGCCAAAATTGGGCCCACGAAAGGCCTCGGGTCTCTCCAGAAGAGACGAAGTTATTTTAAACAGACTACATATCGGACTTGGCACTTAGATATATCTATTCTGAAGAGTTTGTTCTCCATAGTTTATCCAAGCAGAATTCTTGATTTTGTAAAGACCATTTGTCGGATAGGAAAATGCAAATTAAATAGATGTTTAATTTTTAAAAATCGACAAGAAACCCGCGTGGCACGTTTTTCTACAGACTTCAACATAAGTTAAGGACCACTTACAAACACTCCGAGTAGTCTTCTTAGGTCGACCTGCACGTGGGTGTTCTTGGGCTGATCCAGTGGCTTGATGGCGCTGCCTCAAGCAAACAATGACAGAGTGTGACACTGTGGGCCTTCTGGCAACTTCTCGGGCTCCAACTCCATCCTGCGGCCATGCCATAGCCCTGGCACGATCAAAGTCTCTCAGCTTTCGTCTTGGTGGCATGTTGATGTGATTCTGGATTTTTGCGCCAACGGCGGCTTATGTTGCCACCAAAGTGAGCACAGTTCGAGACCGTACGTCCGTTTATGACATGCACCAGAAAGTTTAACTGAGGAATGTCCGTGGTGTAACACACAAGTTGATAAAAAAACAGCAAATTTGGCTAAAATTCCCAGAGGGTTTCCCATGCTGCACGTGGTGGTTTTGCCCCTTTAGGAAACTTTGCAGTACGCATTGGTAGCCCATTACCACTTTCAGAGCAAAACTATTTCATACATTCCTTGTTGTCTTTCTTTCGGGTTTTAAAAAATCAGGGCTGTCTGTGAAGGTGGTCCTTAACTTATGTTTTTAAAAAATACTTTTCAACGGCTGAAGATCTTTCTCCGTCACATACTACACATAGAGTCTATATTATATCTTTTCTACGTGAGGATCATCGAAAAGATATGTGACGGAGAAAGATCTGTTGTAGATCCAACTGAAAAGCAAAAAAGTGGAATTTAGAAAAATGTTGCTGTTAACGGTTTCTTGAATTGAACCGTCGAAATGTAGATTACTGGCTTTTTAATGACTTTTTACTCTCTCTCTCTCTCTCTCTCTCTCTCTCTCTCTCTCTAATCCTAACCACTCATCACTTTAACCCGGCATCGACATTAGGATAACCACAGCTTTATAGAGGTATTATTCTTATTTGCAGTTCGACTTATCACACATTTGCTACCTCAGCCTTCAATCCCATAACTTTTTCGTTCCGTTTCTTGAACTTGAAAGTCTCTTGAGTGTCAAAAACGTGTTATTTAAAAACCTTGACTTTCCACTTGAATGTTTCTCCCAATTGACATAATATTTTTTTTATTTATATACTTCTCAAAACCGTTTATGTTTCATCATTTAAATCTATTAGAGTAACATATTTTAAACAGTAAAACCGGAACTATATATCAGCTGTCTAACTGCGTTGCGTTCTGAAAGGAATGAGATACATGCCAAACAAAAAATACCAAGGGAGTCAAATGAAACAAGAGTGACATTTCTAAACGACAAACAACTTCACATTAATGCCAAACAAAGACAAAAGTGTCATCGTATTCCACATTTCCTGAAGCTGGCGGTGCACAAAAAAAGGGAATGTTATGTTATGTGTCTATTTGCTGCCAAAAAAAAAACTGTTCAGAATGTAGATCAAAAATGAAAGTTTCTCTCGAAAACATTACCCCCCCCCCCCC